TTCTTTCACAATGCAGTCATTTTGACTGCTTTGGGCAATATAGGTATATACTAAGTTTCAGTCTTTCTAGTGTTAAGTTAAAATTACGATGTTACATTAAAGTTACGTAATTATTCAGAATTCTGTTAATCAGTATTCGCATGACTTGTTTTAAACGATTATCTCTTACTACTTTCAAAGCGTTTTCCCCGTATAAAAGAAGAGTCAGATGTAATAATTTATTTTCTTCTTTAAATCTTCTAAACCTATTCTGTCACTAACAGCATCTTCCTAAAAATGCTAAACACTAAAAATGCGTTTGCTGCTGTATTTCAAAATTTCAACACGTGAAGAATAACAGCCTTTTTTTCAATTCTTAACTATCTACGTTTGCTATTGACGAGACAATTAAAATTCACAATTATAGGAAGCAAGGATTAAATTTCGAATTTGACATAAAATATCTATAAATTAATTGTATAAAAAGAATGAAGCTTCGGACGCGATTTCCTTATTCTTGATTGAAACAGCTTGTATACAATTGTTCATTTCAATATAGATAATCCAGAAATAAAACTAACTGCGTGTTCTGTTTGCCGATATCCAGGCGAAAATCGATTTGGTAATTGTAATAATGAAAAGAAACCGCAGAAACTTATTCCGGTAGCTAACAATTAACGTACTACGTGTAAAGGGTGTTACTATCTACTTGTTAGTCAACTAGTTTGTTCTAATATGTTAAAATGTAGTTTATAAATGATATATTGACCTTTTTCTTCGAGCCACTGAGAAAATCCTTATACATTTCCGAGCGAAGATACCTCGAGTAACTATCGCTTTTCATCAGATGATAAACGTGCGCCTAAAATCCAATACCACGGAACATCCTCTTATTATACTTGGTTCACTAAGCGTTTATCACGTTAAATCTGCTCGGTCTAAGTACACCGAGTCGTTTTATTATCATCTTCGATACTTTTAATAGGTTTAGCAACTTTAACGAGAATTTTTTGTTTGAAACTTGTACCGCTGCTATGTCGAAACACCAACGATCTGGTTTCTGTAAGTTCTTCTTCGTTATCTCGTACGATCGTGAGTCGACGTTGATCGGGCAGCTGGCGTCTGGAGCCAAGAACTCGTTCCAGATCTCGTTCACTTTGTTCTGCACCTCCTTCTGCGGTAGCGTCTTCAATTCCTGCACGGCTTCCCAAAATCTGGTAACAAAAAACCAATTGAAACTTTTCTTCCTGTTCTATTCGATGATTCTATTTCACGTAGCAGGTACTTACTTCAGGTTCTCGCCACTGAACTCTTTATCCAGAAATCTTGTGAACTGTTCCCTACCCACGGGATCCTGTAGCAATTCTTGTAGGCTGAAAGCCCACCTCTTTACCCGCCTCGTAGCTATCTCTTTCCTATTGAAATACAATTGAGTTTAGTAACTCTTTAACACTAGATTGCCCAAGGAAGTCATTTTGACTGCTTTTGGGCAAATGTACAAATAATAATGCATAAATTATTTTTTTTCCCAAGTGAAGTAAATTTTTTTTATTGTTAACATTAAGTAATAACTTGTTATATG